CCATAAGGATAGGTAAACCCGCTCGCACGCATGCACAACACATTAAGAAACAATAAGTTCACCATGACAGCTTCTTTCCACAGCTGATCTGATTAATAATGGAACACCGATAAGAAACCGTTCGTGAAGAGCCGAGGATAATCACAGGAAGAAGAGCGACCTTGACCATACGACTGCCTTATCCTGCGGTTTTTCTGGAGGCTAATTATTAAAAAGGTGTTTGACACGATTTCTCACGCTGGAGTCCATGCTTGGCTGCTCATCGGCCCTCAAGTTCACTAATCATGGCTACCAGTTGGCTTTGTGTCCAGAAATTGCCTGTTAAGGGGGGGAGGGACGTAGAACTTTGAAGGGAAGAATGATTGTGAAAGCAGTCATATTATATTCCTGAGTCTTTAGGTAGGAGGGCGTGGAAAACCCTGCTATGATTGGCTGTTGGATGTAAAGGCCAGTAAGAGGGATTGAGGTAAACAGGACCCCCTTGCTCTTCCTGTCTTCCTACAGTAACTGCCCATTCACCCTGGCAGCAGCCCTTGCCCGAGCCACAGCCAACGATGTCCTCCAGAGCGACCTCTCCGTCTACCACCAAAACAAGGCAGTGGAGGACAACACAGAGTCCCTCCCCCGTGAGTATCCCCCTCTCACTGGCGGACCCTCACTTTCACAACGTGATGTGGTACCAGCAACGTGACAGTCTGTCATGCAGCAGAATTCATGTGGTACAGTGTAGCGGTATGCCAAGAATTGGAAGGCAGTTTCAGTGCACGATACCTCCTGGAGCGTAAACCAATGACCACAGGGATTCGGATCTCAGCACAGGACAGGACGACCATCTTTAATTGGCTGATATGTAGCAGCAGTCAGTTTATAAACATAATCATCTAAGACCCTCTGCAGAAATGTACCGGGTACTATTGATGGCCAAATGAAGCTTCATGAACCACTTGCTGTATTTTCTGACCCCACTAGGTGGTGCTCTCTGCTCAAAAAAAGGGTTCAATGCATGCCCCAAAGCAAACCAAGATTGCCATCTAGAGGGGAAAAAAAATACAGCAAATGGTTCATGAGGCTTCATTTTGCAATCACTACTGGGTACATCCAAAATTGCTCATCTGTGCTATCACACAGATCAGGAACCCCCACTCTTAAATATTATGCCACCGGATATGCTTCACTGCTCAGTGTTGAGTGGTGAAGCATGATTAGTGTAAAATTTATGCTGCTCACTCATAGTCATAGTCCACATTCGTGAATCAGACTGGGATCTGTGCATGTGATACTCACGCTGCAATTAGCACATGACAAATCAAAATATTTAAGTATAAGGCAAGGTACAAGCAGAGAATATCACGGAAGATGTGAAAAATGTTGGCTATGAAGATGAAAGGATACTGAATCTTGTATCTCAATAGACACAGGAAGTAGGACGTTATGTGTGGTGTTTTGAAGTATTGACTCAAAAATCAGGTCACATGGTGACCTAACTATGTACCAAGTGGCCTTATAAATACAGCATATTCAAGTGTGAAATCTCGCGAAGGAACATTACAGGAACGGCGAGGAGTCTGAGTCAGGGTGTCTGGGACATTTCTGCCTCCTTTTTTTTTCACAAAATCGTCCTCCTTTGGTTTGCGTTCTTTGGTGTCCGGAAGGATTTTGATAATGACCAGGATTCTGAGTAGCCTCTCGGCCATGGTGGGGATACGGACCAGGAGGGATTGCTGGGTGGCAGGAATGAGGGAGAATGGGGCTGCTGGGCCCAGATCTGGCTCTGGCCCGATTTCCTGGTGCCATCTTTTAGTGAACATGTGGCACAGTGATGCAATGGAAGGTACTGGAATAGACACAAGTGTAGTGGTTGATTGCTTTATTTCACAGGGTCACTAAGTTATTGTTGGAATTCCACATTCAGCCTACGGAAATAGAGCTTTACAGCTTTTGGAAATGTGTGGTGCTGAAATACACTGACTGGCCGAGTAAAGCAAACGACCTTCCAGATTCCACTCAGGGTGAGGGACACGAAAGTATGCTGCCACCCCAATGGGAATGGAGGACATGGGGGAGACCCAGGTGGTCTGAGAGGCCTTGAAGGCTGTCCCCCAGTCCTTTGGGCTCCGCCTATCACAGCAGGCCAGTCCCAATAAGGCGAGCACCGATGTCATTGCATATTCCTCTCATTTACACAGCCACTATCCGGGGGGGGACTCTCATT